CAGTAGTCCATCATACAGACCTGGCATGTGGACCCGTATATGTAGTCGATGATAGGGTCTTCCTGGCTGTGTTTCGCGCGCATGTGCGTTTGATAAGCTGCCTTGCTGTGGAGGATTTGCCCGAACTCGTAGCATAAGTACCTGCTGTCGTGGTGTGGAGCTTTGCGTCCAGGCGTCGGAATTGTTGTGTCGTTGCAGATGTCGTTGATGCGTCGCCTCCAGACAGCTGTGGCTGCGTTCTCGTTGTTGTACTCGATGGCTGTCTTGTAGGCATGTGTAGTTATGCTCTTGAATTTGGAGGGCTCGTCTTTCGCCATGCCTATCCAGTTGCGTATGTCGTCGTGGTTGGGGTGTGTGTGTGGTGCTTGCTAGTGTACGCATTGATGTGGTAGAGGTCGTCTGCAATCGTGGTAGACCATCTGCTGTTGTTTACGATGTCGTAATCCAGCAGGGCTCGTAGTTCTGTCGGGCACGCTGCAGTAAGCTGGAATATCTCGCGCAGCCTTGCTTGGCGTAGTCGTTGTGGAAGTGTCGCAATGCTTGCCTTGCTGATAATATTGATGTTGGTGATCTTATCGCGCTGAGTTGCCTAGTAGATGATGCCCAAATGCCACCCTCGCAGCCGATGTATAGGCCGTGGTGATCCCGCCCGTGCTGATCTGTTGTTGCAGGCGTTGGATTGGTCGCACCCTTGTTTCTTCGAGTCGGATCTCGATCTTCGTGTCGCGGTCGCTATCCTCGTCGTCGCAGTCATTGCATCGTGCCCTGTCGTTACGCAAGTCATCGAGGAATGTCTCCTCGATGTAGCCGAATTCGGTCCAAGGAACAGCTTGTATTATCCTTCGTGTTGGCGAATTCCAGACTTGTTGCGCCTCTGAGCAACAGCGGCCAGTCGCTCTGTGGTTGCTCTGTGCGGGAGGTCGGTCGGGTCGCGGTGGGCTCTCCATCATTGGTCTCGCTGGCTCCCGTCTCGGCTGTGTAATGCTTAGGAAGCGTGCTTTTTTGAGTGGTGGTGTTGCCGTGCTAGTCTCGGGGGGACTCCGAGATCTAGCGTCGGTTGCTTCATTAATTGTCGTGGGGTCGGCTCGACTAGAGGTTCCCGTCCTCGGAGTTGCAGGTCCTGGCCCATGTTCGGGGTGGCCTTGCAAGTAGATTTCCCACTGCTCGTGGCTCTTCCTCTCCTCAGGAGTCGCATGCTGCGTCGCTGTCTTTTTATGGTTTTGTTTTGTTTATTCGCGTGTTCGGTAGTGGTTGGTTGAATGGGCCGTGGCGTCGTCGGGGGGCTGATGTGTGCTATCCCCAAAGCCTGCACCTCAACGTCGTCCCGAGTGCCATATCCCCCTAGTGGAGAATGTGGTGGGCCCGTCGGGCTGTCTGCTGTCACCGCACGGGTCGACCAACATCGGCCCTCAGGCTGAATATTAATGTCGTGGTTGCCCTTAGGAACGTTGCGCATGGTCGTTTGTATTGGATCATAGGCTCTGCATGCTGGCGTGGTAGTCTGACTCCCCGTCTGGGCCAGCAGCCCCCCATCGGGTTCAGTCCTCTCCAGTTTTTTGGCAACGTTGGGTCGTCGGACCCGCCGTAGTCGTCGATTGGTATCGGCTGTCGTTCTGCTGGGTAGATGAACCCATCTCCTGCGTCGTAGATGCGCACCTTGCGCGTGGATCGTTCCCGCGTGCTGCTGCTTCTGAGAGCTGATTTGACTCTTGTCGGCGGGGCTGACTGCGCCTTGTCGGGTGTGTCGAGATGAAACTGCGGTGGGGACTCAATGGGTTGCATGGGGAATGTCGGTGAGATGCGGTCGATGTTCATCCGTCGTGGTGTTGTTGGTGCTTCGCTCTCTTCATCTCGGCTTATGTCTATAAGTGTGGTCGTAGTGGGCTGTCGATGCCATTGTGTGTTGTCCCCTTTGATCTCGGGTGATGCCGACATTGGTCGTACTGCTGGGGAGATGAGTCGCCCTGGGGCCACGTCTGGGGTCGCTTGTTCGGCGGGTGGTGTCGGGCTTATTGGTGGCGTGGGGGTCAGTGCTGTATCCGTGTCGTCTCTGTTGTCTCGCAGGTCGTCGTCGTTGTCGATGTTTGGGTTGGGCGTCCTCTGGCTGTCGTTGGTGCGTGGTGTGTCCAGGCTGATGAGTGCTTCGTCTAGTTGCAATGTGTGTGTGGGGTTGGGATGCAAAATGCTGTTGATGGGTCGGCTGGTGGTGGAAGTGGTGGTGCCTGTTCTGCTGGTGGTCGCGGTGCGAAGCCGAGCTCTGTGAGGCTGAAGTCGCTGTCTGGCGTGCTGCTCGTCGCGCCTGTGCGCTTGGTCTCGCTGTCGGCGTTGCGCTTCCATTCCCCTCTGTTGGGGCTGATATCGGAACCTAGCTGAGTGAACTCGCATGGCATGATGGCGTGCAGCGCGCTCATCTTCTCCTCGTCGAACCTTTGCTGCTCGATGTTTGCCAGGTATTGTCGTCGCTTTTCTTCTTCTATGTCCCTGTTGATCTCGAGCTCCATTTCGCCGGTGATCTCCGCTTCCACCTCCTCGTTCTGGATCAGCTCCTTCCTTAACGCCTGCTCGAGCGCCCGATGTTGGTAGTCGCGTTGTGCGCTCTGCTCCGCAAGCGTAGCTTGTTGTTGACTAAGTTCTTCGTGATATCGCAATCTGAGTTCATGTACGTGTAACTGCTGGCGTTGTTCATGTTGGAGTGCTTCTTCCTGGATGCGATCGAGGTATACTCTGCACTGCTCTTCGTGCTCGTCGTGATGTCGCTTAGCGTAGTTCTCTTCTTTGTTGGCGTGTTGTTGCGTCTGTTGTACCATTTCGCGCCACGTTGTTTGCTCGTGTCTCACCCACTCTTGTACCTGGAGTTGTGCTCTCTCGTGCTCCTGGTGTGGTGCGCGTTCGTAGTCTGCCATCTTGCGAATTGACTCCCACGCTGCGGTCTGGACGTCCTGCACGTTCCCCTTCTCGCTGTTGGGTTGGTCTTCAGCTTGGGCTATCTGTCGTCGTAGCTGGAGTTGTTCGTGTTGCAGCTGTTCGTGCTTCTCATGGAGGGCGCCCTGGACATGAAGCTGTTCGGCGCGTCTAGTTTGCACGGCCTTTTCCTTCATGTCATGCTCTGTGGTGACCCTGGACTGCATCTTCCCGAAGTGGATGAGCGCCTCTTCCTGGATCTTCGCCTTGTAGTGTGCATGTTTCTCTTCGTTGAATGCGCGTTGCTTCTCGATCTTCCCCATGTACTCCATCTGTAATTCCCATGCCATTTCCGCAAGATCCTTCTCGTGCTGTCTCTTCTCGTCGAGCTTTTGCTGGATGCTTATTTCTTCTTCATGCTGCTTTCTCTTGGCTTCGACGGCTGCCGCTTTCACTGCCTCAATGTCTTTCCTTGCCTTTGTGTGTTGCATCATGCTTTGCCGTTCGACGTGCCCCTCTTGCCGCTTCCGGGCCTTCGTCGTGATCTCCTGCGTCTTCGTGGCCATCTCCGCCTTTCTCTCCCTGCACTCGTGATTCATGCGCTGGACCTCCTCTGCGTGGATGTCGGCATTGCGCTCGCTGATGACGGCGTAGTAATGGCTCATCTCCTCCATCTGCAGGTTGGCATTGTGGACGGCGCGCTCGTGCTCCATGGCGTTGTAGATGTCTTGCTGTCGTTGCTTTTGATGCTGCTTGATGCGATGGTTGAGCCTGTGAATTAGCTGCATCGTATCTTCGTCGTGGGACACAGCTGGATGTGGCGTAGCCGTTCTCCGCGTTGAGCTCTCCGTCTTCTTCTGGTTCGCCTCGCATGCGGTGATCTCCTCCATGATATTTGTGACCTGCTTGATTTTGTTTTCGATCTTCTTCTGTTCCAGTAGCTTGGTTCGCACCGCTTCTTCGATCAGCTTCTTGGCGTCGGTGAAGCTGTCGAGGATCATCCTGAGCTCCCTGATCCTGGTAGTAGGGTCCTTCGTCTGCTCGATCATGAGCTTGACTACACTGATCTCGTGTATCAACTTCGTCTTGTCGACTTCGGCTGCCCGCGCTCCGTGTATTTGGTCAGCGATGCGTGCCAACCGCATCCGTTGGTTCTTTGCCCATACTTCTAGAAGCTCGTGATCTCTCGGCGGCTCGCTCCAGGATTCGTGGTCTACAGCATCAGCTCGTAGTGCGACCAGGACGTCGTCGATTATCTCTTGTTGCCTGTTAGTGAACACGGTCTCTTAGTTGTTCACATTCAGGTTGTTACTTCTCTTTCTCGAAGCCGATCTTTTGCTGAGCCTTTCTTATCCAGGTAATAGTAGTTGTTGTCCTGGGCGTGGTATTCGCCTTGACGCTGGTACTGCTGAGGCTGCTGTCGCTGCTGGTGCTGCTTGGTGCCTTGTGGGCGGCCTCTTGAACCTGATCTCCATGGCCATGGTTGAGCACCGACAGGATGTCCAGCTGAACTTCCGTGCGATGCCATCGTCTCGTTGCGCTGGTGCTGCTGGTTGCGCTGGTGCTGCTGGTTGCGCTGGTGCTGCTGCGCCGAGTGGTGGTTCGCCAGGGTCTCCTTGGCCTGGAAGAGCCTCAGCAGCAACCGAACGTTGCCGCGCTTGTCCCGCTCTCGCCGATGCGCAGCTCCCTCTGGAGCAACGCCTCGGCCCTGTCGCGGAGTCCTGCCGCGGGAGGTGGCCGCTGCGCGGCCGCTGGCGCCGTTGTCTGCGGCAGGGAGCAGGGAGGCACGGATGGCCCCCTGCCGCAGATGATGGCGCGCGGCGCGCGTGAGCCCGGCCTCGCAGGCCGGCCGATGCGCGATGCGCCCTGCCACCGCGATCGATCGGGCGGCAGGCGCGACCGACCCTGATGGATCGATCGGGATCCGCGGGCCCGCCAGAGGCCAAATGGGCTTCCTCCTCCCCCTCCTCCCCCTCCTCCTCCTCCTCCTCCTCCTTCTCCTCCTCCTCGTCTCCCCCTCCTCCTCCTCTCCTCCTCCTCCTCCCCCTCCTCCTCCTCCTCTCCTCCTCCTCCTCCTCCTCCTCCTCCTCCTCCTCCTCCTCCTCCTCCTCCTCCGCCTCCTCCTCCTCCTCCCGGCGCCCGGCCCCGCTGGCGCCACCGATGCTGGCCGGGCGCCGGGTGGCCTGGTGCGCCCAGGGCTGGCGCGCGCTGCCCGCCGCGCCGGCGGGCGTGGCCTCGGCCGTGGCCTCGGCCGGGGCGCTGCCCGGCGCCGAGGACTCTTCGGGGTTCCCAAGCGGGGTGACCGCACGGTTGTGGGATTCGGGTCGTTCTCCGAGGGCTGGGGCATCCGAGGTCCCCAAGCCGTGCGTTGACGGACCGGGCGGTGAGGTCTTGGGGGACGTCGAGGTCACCGCGCGGTGTGTGCCACCGCACCGTCTCGGGGCTCCAAATGCTCGAGCAGCGGCGGCGCGTCCTGGCTTGCGTGTATGTACGCCCACCAAGGGAGTTTCTCAGAACCCAGACATCGGGCGTCTCGAGACAAAAACGAGATGGGTGTTTTTGTTCGTAGATTCTGGCCTCGGGGGGGCCCTCGCCTGGCCTCGGGACCGTCAGACAACGACCCGGGACGAGAAGCTGGTCCCGGGGGAAGTGGTCGGGAGGTCGGGGGCACGTGTCTCGGAAAAAGTCGAGAGGTCGGATGTGTGGTAACCCTTTGGCACCGCCTGTATCCGAGGCTATGCCTCCTCTCGGCCTCGCTCTGAGGCTCCGCCGCTTCCTCCCTCCTCTTCTTTGCCTAATTCAAGCTTCGCGCGGCCCAGTCAGCTTCGACCCGAAGAAGTGCGCTCTTGACCCGCGGATCAAAAATGTGTGGTAACCGTCCCTGTGGTTTGCACGACACTTTCTTCGAGCATTTCGGGCCGAGACCCGCGGTGAAACACGTCGGGTCTTTGTTATGAGAACATGGCTTCTGTTAGAACAGTTACATGTTGTGGTAGGATTGCAGGAATGCCGGGACGGTCGGCCCCTCCTCAGGAGGAGTCGGCTACACTCACGGGCGAAAACCATGTCCGTATCCGCGGCCTCGCGGGCCGGGCCCCCGGGCCGCGAACACGCGGATGCGGGGCGTTTTTGTCGCGGCTGCCCCGCGCGGAACGTTTCTCCGTGCGACCGCATGTCCGCGGGAGCGCGCCCCGGAATCGAGACCGCGAGGGCGCGGATACGGACATGTGCGCCGCTCGTGCACGCATCTAGGCCTCCCAGATGGGGTCGGAGTAGATGGGGTCGGAGGATAGCGCCGCATCGCCGATTCTGCGGCGATGCGGCTCATTGTTGAGGCTAATTTTCTCCACGCCGACGGCACCGATGCATCGCCGACGTTGCCGATGAATCGCCGGTGTGTTGCCCATGCATCGCCGATGCGTCGCATGCATCGCCGATGCGGCGCGATCCTCAGTGACCTCTCGCTGGAGTGACCTCTGGTGCGGACGCAGTGGGGTCTTCCGATCGCTGAGCTCGATGCGATGATAATAGCATCTAGTGTGAAGTCAGGCATGTCCCTCTACAGGATGAATGTTCAAGAAGAGTTGAACAAATAGTCTGGTGACGAGGTGTCGCGTTTTTGTTTGTGACTCGGTTGGTTGATTTGTTTGGCTTGTTTTAGAGTTTGTGCTCCCAGATCCGCCTGTGGGAGGACATGCCCGACCTAAACCTACAGTCGAGGCCCTGAAGAAGGAACCCTTTTTGTTGGGGAGGGGCTCCGTCTTCCTTGATTGTTTCGCAGCTTGCCTTATAGGTTTCCCTTCGGTTTTCGATATGAAAGCGAAGTTCCACTTATGGGAAATAGGGGCCTCGTTCCTTATTTAGGGTTCCTTAGGTCAACGCCCCGACTGTAGTGCGCTTGGATGTTGCCCCCTTCGCGGCCCCCTGGAGCCGCGCACCACAGGTCGCTCTTGTGCCCAGGGTCGCCCTTATACGCGTGGCCGCGAGGAGGCCTGCGAGCTGCGGCGGCCGGCCGGAAGGCGGCACCTGCCGGAGGAGGCCTGCGAGCTGCGGTGGGCCAAGGGGGGGCACATGAGGAGGCATCTCTTCGGACGCAAACCCAGGGAGTTTTCTTAAACGACGCGAAGATCGGGACAAAATCGGATCGGGATAATTCGAAATCTCTGAGAATCGGCGGGTTTGGAGGATGTATTGGGCGCCGCGGCCGCTCCAGAGCGTTCCGGAACGCTCTGAGGGCGCTCCGGAACGCTCTGGAGCGATTTATCCCGATCCTAGCCCTGTTTTAAATTCCGCCTGTAGCGCCGAGTCGCGCCGATCAGCGTCGGGGAGGCGACGAGACAGCGCCGATTCGGCGTCGGCTGGCGTCGAGCAGCGCCGACTTTTTATCGATCAGCATCGGCTAGGGTAGATCAGCGTCGATTCGCAAGAGCCAGCAAGATTTAAGTCGGGCCTGTCCCCCTACAGGGGGATTTTCGACTAAAATTAGGAAATACCCCCAACATAGCCAAAACATAGTCCCAAAATAGTATGGGGATTTTTTGGGGGGCATTTTTTGGCCTTCTTGGGGTATGTTTGGGGTATTTTTTATTTTTCGTCGACAATCCCCCTGTATGGGGGACACGCCCGACATAAGGCAAGATGGCAGGCGAGGCTCCCATGGGGTGCCACCGAGCAGCTCGTGGGCGAAGCGGCACAGCCTTATAGCCGCGGCCTCGCGGCCTGGACCCCCGGGGCTGCGAGCCCCCGCGGCTGCGAGGCGTTGTAGTCGCGGCTGCCCCGCGCGGAGCGTAGCCGTGCGACCGCGCATCCGCGGGATCGCGCCCGGGCTCAAGACCGCAAGGGCGCGGACACGGAGAGGAGATGGGGAGGAGGAGGAGGGGGAGGAGGGGGAGGAGGAGGAGGAGGAGGAGGAGGAGGAGGAGGAGGAGGAGGAGGAGGAGGAGGAGAAGGAGGAGGAGGGGGGAGCAGGCAGGAGGAGGACCGAAACCACACAACAACAACAACAACAACAACAACAACAACAACAACAACAACAACAACAACAACAACAACAGCAACAACAACACCAACAACAAGAACAATAACAACACCACCAACAACAACAACAACAACAACAGCAGCAGCAACAACAACAACAACAGCAGCAGCAACAACAACAACGACAACAACGACAACAACAACCATAATAACAACAACACCAGCAACAACAACACCAACAACATCACCACCACCAACAACAACAGCAACAACAACAACAACGACAACAACAACAATAAGAACAACAACACCAGCTACAACAACACCAATAACAAAAACAATAAAATCAACAACAACAGCAACAACAACAACAACACCAGCCACAACAACACCACCACCAACAACAGCAACAACAGCAACACCAACAGCATGGGCACGGAGATGTGCGCCGCCCGTGTGCAGCTCCTGGGAGGTCGAACGCGGCATCGGCGCTGGCACATCCGTGGGGCCGGCAACAGCTTCCTCTGGCAGGAGCCCGCCTTACTGCGCTCGGCCCCGTTCCATCTGGCCTACAGTGGGGGCGCGTGCCAAGAAACCAGCTGGATTTTGCCAGGGTGCCCTGGGTTTCTTGGATTTTGATGGGATCCCAATCAGATCTTGACGATTTTCGATCGACACATGTGGATTTTCACTGAACAAATCGCGTATTTCAGGGTTGGGTTTCTTGCGGAGGTTTCTTGTGGCCGAGCCCCCACTAGTCGGCCTTACGCTTGGGCTTACTCTGGACCAATCCGGCTCCACAGCCCCCGAGTCGGGCCTGAAGTGTTGCACCATTCTGGCGGAGACTTTCGAGGAGATGCCCCAGAAGAAACATCAGCACACCGAACTCAGAGGAGAAACGGTTACCCATACGGCCGCTCATCTTGGAAAGCCCCCGTCGCCACGGCTGGACTCTCCTCGGAACTTCTTATCGAGCGCACCCACGGAGATGCCTGTTGCCGCAGCAGGCCGTACATCCAGCAGGACGCGTCGGCACGATAAAACCGCTTGAGGCCGCCGCAGGAAGTTGTTTCTAACACTGCAACTCAGAATCGCGCTGGGAGAGGAGTGGGGACGAGAGAAGACAGAGCGGCCGAATTACGTGGCAGAGGGGTGTACTTGTTGACACAGTTGTTGCACCTCTGAAGGCCACCTCCTCTTGGGAGCAGCGCTATCTTTTTCTGTGTCTCCCCAGGCGCGGCGCACAAGCAGATTCTTTTCTGAGGCCCCTGCGGATTTGTTCTTGGGTCAGCGTCGGGCCCCTTCTCCCGCCTCCAGCGCCGCACCCGGCGCGCTCTCCGTGCGCCAGCGAGGAGGGTGTCCAGCGCTGGTCCAAGAGATCCGCGCGAACCCCCGAGAATTGACGTTTGGTCCGAGGGTGGGATTATCAATAACCACCGCTTGTGAGATCGATCTTCGGGGACATCGTCAGGCGGTGTGTACGGCTGGACGTGCTCGGGGCCAGAGGTGATTCTGCCCCCCCCCCTCTCTACATGCTAATGTGGGATCGGGCCCCCACTCCCTCCGCTAGATGGGTACGCCCGTGAGCCTCGCATCCTCGCGAATGGGATCGCCCCCTTCCCCCACCTGTGGTCGCGGCCCTGTCACGCCACAGGCTGTGGGCGGGTGTGGAGTGGTGCTGCGGTGCCGTCGTCGTTGTCGTCGTCGTCGTTGCATTTCCCCCCCTATCCAATCTCGTGGGGGGGCGCCTGTGGAACCCTAGGGCCCATCTCATCTGGGGGGGGGCTGTGAACCCTCGACCCGGGATCGTATAAGAGGGTGACGGCCCGGGGAAACCGGGGCGTTGTCCCTCTTGGGAAAGAGGGCATAGGGAATGAGACGGAGTTACGACGACGGCGACGACGATCACGATGACGACGACGGCGACGCCGACGCCGACGCCGACGGACGACGACGACGACGACGCAGACAACGAGACGACAACGACGAAGACGACGACGAACCACCTAACATGGGGAGGGGGGTTGCACCGGCACCCACCACCAAGCCACGCTCAGAAGGCCACGACCCAGGGGGGGGAGGGGGCGATCCCATTTCGCGGGCCTTCACGAGGCTCACGGGGGTACTCATCCAGTGGCGGGGGGGGGGGGGGCGGGCGATCCCATTAGCATGGGGCAGGGAATGCAGAGCCCTGGATCATACAGCTGCCTTCGGAAGTTCCGCCACCGTGCCAGCGCAGCTTTCTGGGTGGCAAGAGTTCGAGGAGGCAATGCGGCCTGCTTGGGGCCTCTGGGGGCAGACGGCTCGAATTCTTGGCTCGTGTTCTCACTCTTGGGCCCTTCTTGGGGCCCTCCGGGGTATTCTTGCGCGCCCCTGGGGCCGTCTTGGAGCCCTCTTGGGCAGGGCCTCTCGAACCGTCTCGGGAGAGTCTTGGGGGCATCTTGGGCCGTCTTCAGAGCGTCGGAAGCTTCAAATAGGCAAAAGCCCCAAACACATTGAAAACGCTAAGCGAAATCAAGCGTGTCTGCCTCTCGGGGCCCTCTTTGGGTGGCCTCTTGGGAGCCTCTTTCCACAATCTTGGGGCCTCCTGAGCGATATTGGGGCGGAAGGCTCGACTTGTCGGTTCTTGCTCACACTCTTGGGCCCTTCTTAGGGCCGTCCTGGGGCCCTCTCGGGCTGTCTTGCGGCACTCTTCGGGGCCTCTTGGGCTGTCTTGGGGCAGTCCTGGTGACCTCTTGAGCCGTCTTGGGACGTCGGAAGCTCGAAAAGACGGAATAACTCGACGCGGAGGTCCCCATATGTGCATCGCGTTTCCTAGCCTTATCTGCTACGAGAGATTATGGGTATGAGTGGGCTGAATATGAGAATCTGACTGCGGGTGAGTATGAGTGCGAGCGAGTCTGAATGGGTGTGAGTGGGCTTCAGTGTGAGTGAGTCTACGCGTATTGGGTCTGAGGACGACAAATCTTCGTGTAGGTGTATCTGGGCCCGAGTGGTCTGAGTATGAGTTTGAGTGACTCTGAGTATGACTGACCTAAGAGGGAGCAGGCGTGAGGACAGAGGAGAGAAGGCGACGATGAGACAGCTCCTTCTCCTTCTGCGTCCTCCTTCCCCCTAAGCCGTCATTCCTTCCTTCCTCCTCCTTCTCTTCCTCCTCCTTCTCCTCCCTGGCGGCCATTCTTCCCCCTGCCACCTGCGTCGTCGTTGTCCTCCTCCTCCTCCTCGTCCGTCCTCCCTGCTCCCTCCTCCTCCTCCTCCTCCTCCTCCTCCTCCTCCTCCTCCTCCTCCTCCTTGGCAAGTGTCCCCCGCCCTGGTGGCTCCTCCTCGGGGTGCCCACGCGACACGATTGCTGTATCGCGGGGACCATGAGGCTCTCAAAAGAAGGAGGCCTGGGCCACCAAGCAGGCAAACCGCCTGAGACATCCCCACGCTAGCCGCGACTGGCCCTTTGGGACTGCGCGCTCGAGACATCCTCACAGTCTAATCTGAAAGCAGAGGATGTTGGACACCCAAAGATGCAAACCGCTCGAGGCAGCCCCGACAGTGTGGGCGCGCACGGGCCCGTGAGAACACCATGGCGGCTCCCCCTTGAGAGTGCCGAAGCCAGCGCCTCCTTCGAGACGGCGTCGCAGTCTCTCCGGCAGCAGAGGCTGCTGGGCACCCAGACGTGCAGACCGCCCGAGACGTCCCCACGGGCCGAGCGCGCACGGGCCCGTGAGAACACCCTGGCGGCTCCCCACCTCGGGAGTGCTGAGGCCAGCGCCGCGCCTGAGACACCCTGACCGTCTGCCAGTCTGTTCTGACGGTTGTCCGGTCCTGGGCACCCAAACCTGGCACACCGCTCGAGACGTCCCCACGATCTGAGCGCGAGCGTGCCCGGGGGAGCCCCCTGACGGCTCTCCCCCCCTTGGAGTGCTGAAGCCAGCGCCTTGCCTGAGACATCCTCACGATCCGCCTTGAAAGCAGAGCATGCTAGGAACCCAAGCAGGCAAACCGGTTTTGAGACATCCCTACGTTCTGGGCGCGAAGGGGCGCATGTCCTGCCCCCTGGCGGCTCCCCCCCTGGGAATGCTGAAACCGGCGCCTCGCCTGAGACATCTTCACGATCTGCTCGCCAGTGAGTCTGCGTATGAGCGGTTCTGAATAGTTGTGGGTGTGGGAGCGATTGAGCCAGATTGAGTCTAGTGTGAATCTGTTTGAGCGTGGGTGAGTCTGAGTGAGATGAGTGAGTCTGAGTGCGAAGACTGAGTGTGGTTGAGTCTGAGTGAGGAGGAGGAGGAGGAGGAGGAGGAGGAGGAGGAGGAGGAGGAGGAGGAGGAGGAGGATGGTGTCCCCTTGCCTCAGGGGTCCCCCTACTCTGATCCTCGATCGACCGATGGACGATTCTTCGTGCCTCTCTCGTCCGTCCGTGCCGAGCGAACGTGTCCTGCCGCCGACGGCCGTACAGCTGGCCGCAGCCTTTGCAGAGCGCCAGACGGCGCCAGCGAGGTTCCCTTCCCGTACCGCTCGACGCCCGTCCGCAGCGTTGGAATGAATGAAGAGGAGGGTGTGAGGTGTGTGGGGGAAGAGGTCCGGAGGCGTCTTAGTAATTCCTCGACGCCGAGATCCCCATACTTGCATATCATGTTCCTGTCGCGTCTCGCCCGGGACGTCTGTCTGTGGGCATTTGGGTGTGAGAGGGAGACCGCGCAGACGACGGAGGCGTCGACGACGACATCGACTCCTCCTCCTCCTCCTCCTCCTCCTCCTCCTCTGGACATCTTTCGGGAGAGATGAGTGAAACACAGGTGAAGAGCAAGGGAGTATTGAACAATCAAGAAAGGGAAGCCTGTGAGTGAATCTGAGCGTGAGTGATCTGAGCGCCAATGAGTCTGAGTGTGCGCGAGGTATGAATGAGAGAGTCTGGGTACGGGTGCGTCTGAGTATGAGTGAGTCTGACTATGAGTGAGTCCGAGTGTGAGTGAATCTGAGTGTGAGCAAATCTGAGTGTGAGTGCGTCTGATTTGAATTCCTCACGCTTCGCGTATCCCCACCAGCCCATCTCAAAACAGCAATTCTTGCGAAGCATGCCGACAGTCGTGTTTTTCAGGCGTGTTTCCGCCTGCCCCCGCATATCTCCCCTGTACCTCCTTCCTCCCGCCTCCTTGTACATCCTCCTTGTGGTGGGAGCGGGAGAAGGACGAGGCGGAGGAGGAGGGAGAGAAAGCGCTCCTCGTGGTTTGAGTCGTTTGGGGTTTCTCGTCCTGGTGTGAGTCGTTCGGGCCCTTCTTCCTGGTGTGAGTCGTTCGGGCTCTTCGTGGTGTGAGTCGTTCGGGCTCTTCGTCCTGGTGTGAGTCGTTCGGGCTTCTCGTGGTGTGAGTTGTTCGGGCCCCTCGTCCTGGTGTGAGTCGTTCGGGCCCCTCCTCCTGGTGTGACTCGTTCGGGCTCCTCGTGGTGTGAGTCGTTCGGGGCCCTCGTCGTGGTGTGAGTCGTTCGGGCTCCTCGTGGTGTGAGTCGTTCGGGCGCCTCGTCCTGGTGTGAGTCGTTCGGGCCCCTCCTTCTGGTGTGAGTCGTTCGGGCTCTTCGTGGTGTGAGTCGTTCGGGCCCCTCGTCCTGGTGTGAGTCGTTCGGGCTCCTCGTGGCGTGAGGCGTTCGGGCACCTCGTCCCCTTTTGGGGCGTCTTGGGGGCCTCTTGGCGGCCCCAGGGGCTTCTAGGAGCGTCTTGGGTGCCTTGGGGGAGCCTCTTCGGGCCTCTTGGGAGCCTCTTGGAGGCCGTTTGGGGCGTCTTGGGGGCCTCTTGGCGGCCCCAGGGGCTTCCAGGAGCGTCTTGGGTGCCTCGGGGGAGCCTCTTGGGGCCTCTTGGGGGCCTCTTGGGGGCATCTTGGGGGCCTCTTGGAGGCCTCTTGGGGGCCTCCTGGGGGCCTCTTGGGGCCATCTTGGGGCCTCTTGGTGCCTCCTGGGCGCTTCTTGGGGCCATCTTGGAGGAAATCGATCAAAGAAGAGGGGAGCTTTAATTAGCGCTGCCCCCTCAGAAGGGCAAAATGGGGCCAAAACCTTCGTAAAATCAATGATTCTGGCTTGAAAGAAGAGGGGAGCTTCAATTAGCGCTGCCCCCTCAGAAGGCCAAAATGGGGCCAAAACCGTAGTAAAAACAATGATTTTGGCTTCAAAGATGAGGCGAGCACTTTTCTCCCCCCCCCCCGTCGGGGCCAGAATCCTCGTGAGGGGTGTCGAATTTTAGCCCTCCCAGGAGTCGAAAAAGACCCCTCCGGCCACCCGCGGAGGGACCTCTCCAGGCCCAGGGGGAGGGGGTAGGGGGAGGGGTAAACCCCTCCCCGAAGGGGAAGAAGGGGGGTTGAGAACAGAGAGAGCTCGCTAAACCACTCACGCCCAAAGGGCTGGTGGGATTGTGACGAGTCTGCGTCTGAGTATACGTAAGTCTGAGTGTGACTGAGTCTGTGTGCGAGTGCGTCTCAGTGTGTGTGTGTGTGTGTGTGTGTGTGTGTGTGTGTGTGTGTGTGTAAGTCTGAGTATGATTCAATATGAGTGTGACTGAGTCTGAGGATGAGATATAAGATATTCTAAGGATGTGTGAGTCTGAGTGTGAGTGATTCTGTGTGTGAAAGTCTGAGCATGAGCGAGTCTGAGTATGAGTGAGCCTGAGCTTGAGATGTTGAGTGTAAGGGGAGAAGAGGAGGAGGGAGGTGAGGAGGCGTTGATGGTCTGAGTGTCAGAGATGCTGAGTGTGAGCGAGTATGGGTGTGAGTTAACATGGGAATGCTGGTTTTTGAGTGTGAATGAGGCTAGGTTTGCGAGGGTCTGAATACCGGTGCGTCTGAGTATGAGTGAGTCGAAGTGTGAGTAAGTTTCGATGTGGGCAAGTCTGAGTATGAGTGGGTCTGAGTACGAGTGGGTCTGAGCATGAGTGAGTCGGAGCGTGAGTGATCTGAGTGTGAGTGGTTTGAGGGTTGACGAATCTGAGTGTGATTGGACCCAGGAATGATTTAGTGTGCGTGGTGTGTGTACGTCTAGCTACGAGATAGTCAGGGTACGGGGGCATCTGAGTATGAGCGAGGCTGAGTACGAGCGAGCCTGAGTGTGAACGAGTCTGAAAGTGAGCAAGCCTGGATGTGAGTGGGTTTGGGTGTTAGTGACGATTTTGCGTCTGAGTTTGAACGAGTCTGGTTACGATCGAGTCTGAGTATGAGTGAACCTGAGGATGGGTAAGCCTGGGTGTGAGTGGGTCTGAGTGTGAGCGGGTCAGAGTGTGAGTGGGTCTGAGTATGAGCATGCTGGGTATGACTCTGAGTATGGGTGTGTCTGAGTACGAGTGAGTCTGATTTCCAGTGTGTCTGAATGTGAGCAAGACTGAGTCCGAGTGGGACTGAGCATGAGTTTGACGAGTCTAAGTCTGAATCTGCGTGAGCCTGAGTGAGTCTGGGCGCGAGTGAGTCTGAGTTCGCGCGCGTGTGTGTGTGTGTGTGTCTGTGTATGAGAGAGTCTGAGCATGGATGAATCTGAGTGCGAGTGAGCCTGGATGTGAGTGAGTTTGGGTATGAGTGAGTCTGAGTGTGGGTGAGTTTGGGTGTGAGTGAGTCTAACTGTGAGTGAGTCTGAGTGAGGATAGGCAAAATGAGGAGGGTGTTGAAGAGGTGTGAGTGATATGTGTGTGTGTGTGTGTGTGTGTTTTTTATGTGTGGATGAGTCAGAGTGTGAATGAACCCAGGAATGATTGACCTTGGGTATGAACGTGTCTAGGTAGGATAGTTTGAGTACGGGTGTGTTTGGGTAGAAATGAGGCTGAGTACGAGCGAGTCTGAGTGTGAGTGAGCCTGAGTGTGAGCGGGTCAAAGCGTGAGTGGCGAGCCTGAGTCTGAGCATGAATGAGTCAGAGTACGAGTGAGTCGGAGGATGAGTGAAGCGGAGGGCGGGTGGGGCTGAGTGTGATTGATTCTGAGCGTGAGCAAGTCCGAGTGTGAATGGGCCTGAGCATGAGTCTGATGGGTATGCGTCTGAGCATGAGTGAGCCTGTGTGTGTGGGTCTGCGTATATGAGTGAGTCCGAGGGTTGGCGAATCTGAATGAGAGCATCAATCCGACACGTTGGGAGTTGTGCAGCCCTTTGTTCCTCCAGTCGGCTTCGCGCCCAGGGGGGAACTGAGAGGGGGCGGGCCTTCTCAGAAGGCTCGGAAGCCCCCCGGCTTTTTGAGAAGGTTCCTCAGCTTGTCCCGAAGGCACCAAGTACTCCTCAGAAGGCGCGAGGGCTTCAGAGCAGTCCCGCCGCCTTCTGAGCAGGCCTGCTCATTCTCACTTCCCCCCCTCGCTCGCCGCCGACTCTTGCTCCTCTAGAGGTGGGGCACGGGCCGACACGGCGCCCTGGTCGCCCAGCACGCGGGCGCGTTGACGCTGCCGGCGCAGAGACAGGCCCTGGCGCAGGTGCGCAGCCGCGTGCTCGCGGCCGCTGACGGCCGGGACCCGACCGCGCACCTGCACGCGCGCACCCTCGCGGGCGCCGAGACCGTCCTGATGGTGCTCGGGAAAGGAGTATCGGCGGCGGAATTCTCTAGGCTTCCCAGATAGGGTCTGAGTGGATGGGGTCGGAGAATCGCGCCGCGTCGCCGATGCGTCGGCGATGCGGCTCGATGCGGAGCCCGATTTTCTTCATCCCGACGTCGCCGATGCGTCGCCGGCGTCGGTGATGTATCGCCAAGACTTCGGCGAAGCATCGCCGATGTATTGGCGATGCGGCGCGATATTCCGACCCCATCTACTCGGACTTCATCTAGGAGGCGTCTAACGTCGGCGGCGGAATTCGAAGCCTATTCTCGCTGATCGACGATTCAGGCAACTCGAGGGGCGGCGGGGGTTTAGGACTCGGAGGTCGTCGAGCACTGGGCGAGATGCGAGCCCTGACCACGCCTCCCATCGGTTCGAGAGCGTCGATGGCTGGTGGGGGCCGGGTTCGGATTCCTCCGCTCAAACAGGCGCTCGTCGCCACGGCTGGGTTGTCCTCGAAACCCTGGCCAGAACGCACCCCGAGAGAGGCCCGTGGCGTTCACGCCTGGCTTCCCCAGGTGCTGCGGTTCCTGCACGACCTGGAGGGCTGCGTGGAGCGGGCCCACGGGTCCCCCGAGGACGGCGGCCGGGCGACCTGCGGCTGGACCCCGCAGGAGCTGTTCTGCCGCCCCTGGGTGCTGACGCGCGGGAAGGCCTGGGGCTCGAGCTCCGACGTGCTGCGGCTGGAGGAGCACGTGCCGGCAGCCTCGAGAGCGCTCTGCGCCGCCGTCTTCTCGAGTGCTGCCACAGGAGCGCCCCTGGCCCAGGGCGCCCCCAAGGAGGAGGAGGAGGAGGAGGAGGAGGAGGAGGGAGAGGAGGAGGAGGAGGAGGAGGCGGAGGCGGAGGCGGAGGAGGAGGAGGAGGAGGAGGAGGAGGAGGAGGAGGAGGAGGAGGAGGAGAGGAGGAGGAGGAGGAGGAGGAGGAGGAGGAGGAGAGGCCCCCCACGGCCTCCAGAGCACCCCAACACGAGACCCCAGGGCCTCCAGAGGGCCCTCCCGAGAGCCCACGGCGTCGGGGGGGCACCCGGGGCCCGGGGCACCTTCTGGCGGCCCCCGGTCTTCCCCTTCGGCGTCCCCATCGGCTCGCTGCTCGCCTGGGTCACCGTGCAGTCCCCGGGGGCCTTCTGCAAGCTGCACGCGCGCCGCATCGCGGGGCCCCGCCTCCGGCCCTTCCGCGTGCGGCTGGCGGAGCACTATCGGGTCGACGCCCCTGGCCTCGGCCCGGACGCCCTGGCGCAGGCTGCTGCGGCGGGCGAGTGGCGGCCGCTGGTGCACGGGGGCGTGCCGGAGGTGCTGCTGTCCTGACGAGCCCCGGCGCGAAGCCGCTCGACCTGGCCAAGCCGTGGGTCGAAGGAGAGAAAAACGCCATGAGCATGGATTTTCGGCGCTCCGCGCGGATTTCTTGGGTCCGCCCTGGGCCCCCCCTGGCGGCGCCCCCGGCGCCGCACCTGGCGCGCCAGGCAGCGGGGTCCGGCGCGGATCCAAGAAATCCGCGCGGAGCGCCAGAAGTTCATGTTCATGTCGTTATTGTTTTCTTCAAGTGAATGGGGGGAGCAGCCTTGTCGGGGAGCTCTGGAGGGAGGGATGGGGGGCGCCCGCCCTGCGCGCACTGCAAAAACTTGAGGGCGCGGAGTCAGCGGCAAGAGGCACTTGGCCGTTGCTGTGCTCGCGCCCGTTGTCTTGGTGGGCTGCTCCGTGCCAGGCCGGGCGGGGGAGGCGGCATGCACCCAGCTGCCCGCGGCGAACCCTGCCACCGTGGCAGCGCAGCGTCGAAGTCCTTGTTCCACCGAGCTCTCCCGGCCTCTGGGAGGCTTCCCCTGGGCTTCTCGGGTGGCCTCGTGGGGCCTCGGGGGTCTCCCAGGAGCCCGTGGGGGGCTTCTGGAGGGCGCCGTCTTGGGCGCGATGGTTTGATTTTTCCCCAGAGGCTCGGTACAACCATACTGGTGCGTTCTAAAGCCTAAAGCTATGTCGTGGTGCTGAACGCTCCTTCCCGCTTCCAGATACTGCCGGAACAGAAAGTAGGGCCTCCTGAGTCCTAATGCCAATTTTGGCTGAAAAGCTTGGGAAGCAAACAGGATGGTCACACTTGGGTATTTCAGTGTCTTTGGCCGTTGAAAGCCGTGCTGCGACTTTCTCAGAGGAGGCATCGGGGCTCTTGGGCATCTCTGGGATATTTTAGGTCGGCGGGATCTCTGGGGGCGGTGCTGGGCCAGTATCGGGACAACTTGCAGCTCTCTTGGGGCGGTCTTGGGCCGTTGTTGACCGTCTGGGTCCACGGGAGACGATCTGGCAATGAAAACGGAGGGTGTGATTTTCCAGGCAGTGAAGGTGCGAGGGGGGGCGGAACCTTACCTGTCAGCTGACAGGCAGGTATTCTAGCACTCTCCAGTGTGTCGTTGGCAAGGTTGGCCAGCTTCTTTGCCATGCTTGGGACAATTGTCCCAGTGTGTTTTTCGCCTGCCAAGGCAAGGCTATGGATGTCGCGCTGGCCAAGCGCATGCCACGTGCCACGGCCAAGTGCCGGCCACGTGCGATGATACTGGGCATGTGCGCAGCCACCAGGGAGGCCTACCCCGGCCCTCGCCTGCAATACCGACTCTGCTTGGCAAATTCTACACTTGCACGTGGCGGCCGAGCTCAATACCTGAATTCGTGCCAGCGCGAGACGTGGAGACATCATCATTTGAAGATCTGGCTGAGACTGCAACGCGACCTACAGTGGAGCAGCTGTGCTGCCTCTTGCGGGCCGCGTCGAGAATCGCCACTCCTCCCCGTCCGGACCTCCGTCCTCGTGGCAGCCTCTGCCCGTGTGCCCCTCGAGCCTCCAACCCCTCCCCCGGGGCCGCCTCTCTCTCTCTCGCTCTCTCTCGGTCCGACTCCTGACGGCCACAGGGCCCGACACGGGCTCCGGAGTTTTTTTCGTTGACAACACACATATTTACATACATACGTAACTTGTTTCCTAAGGAAAAAAGAAGAAATCGAAAACCCAAAAAACAAAAAAGCAACAACGGTGTAGGATGCAGCGCTCGAGACGCACCACGACGTGGGGGCTCCGGGCCTCCCCCCCCTGCATCCCCTCCGCCTCCCCGAGCGCGCGCCGGGCAGAGGAGGCGGAGCAGGCCCCCCGGCGGTGCGTCCTGGGGGGCCGCCGGCTGGCCCCCCCCGGCGGGGGCGGTCGGTGGGCCCGGGTCGCCCCGGCGAGAGCGCGGCGCGGTCACCTCGCACTCCGGGAAGCCCCCGGGGCTTCCCGTGGCGGGAGCACCGCGCACGCACAAGCGCTTCTGTCGTCGCGGCCACGCGCGCAGCTGCGCAGCGGAGGCGGGCTGAGGCAGGGGAGGCGGCGCGGGCGCAAGCACACACGACACTGACACAGACGCTCAGACACAGACACACGCACACGCACAGGCACGCGCACACGCACACGCACCCGCACACGCACACGCACACGCACGCGCGCACGCGCGCACACACACGCACACGCACACGCACGCGCACAACACAACACACACACACAACACACATAACACACAACACACACACAACACACACACTCACGCCACGCCACGCCACGCCACGCCACGCCACGCCAAGCCAAGCCACGCCTCGAGCGCGCGTCGGCGGCGCGCGGGAAACCAGGGCGCCTCCACCACGGCACGACCCTCAGCACCGAGGCCGCGGCCACACATTTTCACAAACATTCACACACATTCACAGACGTTCACACATATTCTCTCTCTCTCTCTCTCTCTCTCACACACACGCACACGCACATACACACAAACACACAAACACTCAAACACACAAACACACAACACACACAAACACACAAACACACAAACACACACACACACACCGACTCTTGCGCCTTGCGCAGCGACGGCGGGACGCAGCTGGTGCTGCTGCCGCTGCTGGTCGGACTGATGTGGCACGCACCGCGTTCCCGCTGGCAGCTGCGGCCAGAGGCGGCGCAGGGTCTCGCGCTTGCGCGCCCTTTGGCCGCCCGCAGACGCGAGCTTCGACAACGGATGGGCTGACGGCAGTCAGATGCCCGCGTGCAGCGCTGTCGGCAGTGCAGGCGCCCATGGAAGAGACGTGCTGGAGCTGGCGGCTGCGGAGACGGCGGCTCCCTGGGCGCCTGCGGCTGCTGCCGCCGCTGCTGCCCCGCCGCCTGCGGCGACCGATGCGCGCGGGCAGAGGATCGCGATGCTCCGGGCGCCGTCGTCGAACCTTGCTGCGGACAAGCCGGTCTGGGCCATCCTGGGAGTGGCCGGTTGCCAAGTCGGCGTGAGGCCAGAGGGCCGAGCCTGCGTCAGGCAGAGAGCTCCTAGGGGAGTAGGCGCAGGCGACCCCGCTCACGGTGGTCGTCTTCGCGGGCTCTTCGTCGAGCTTGTCTGACAGTGCAGGGCGGCACCATGAGTTAGCGCCGATCTAGCGTCGGCTAGCGTCGATGAGCGTCGATTTAGCGTCGATCAGCGTCGATATGACGCCGGCTAGCGTCGACTCGCAAGAGCCGACAAGATGGTATGGGAGGCTCACATAAGTTGCCACCGAACACACACAAACACACACGCACACGCACACGCATACGCACACGCACACGCACACGCACACGCACACGCACAGGCACAGGCACACGCACACGCACACGCACACGCACACGCACACGCACACGCACAGGCACAGGCACACGCACACGCACACGCACACGCACACGCACACGCACACGCCACGCCTCGAGCGCGCGTCGGCGGCGCGCGGGAAACCAGGAAACTTCCACCACGGCACGACCCTCAGCACCGAGGCCGCGGCCCAGAGGTCCGCGTCCACCCCACCCTGCTTCCCCGTGCGCCGCCGTCGCCGCCGCCGCCGCCAACGCCGTCGTCGCCGCCGCCGCCGCCGCCGCCACCGCCGCCGTCGTCGTCGTCGTCGTCGTCGTCCTCCTCCTCGTCTTCGTCGTCGTCGCCGGCGTTTTCGTCGTCGTTGTTTTCGAATATTCACTTCAGAATCTCGTAGTTGATGCTATACGGAAGCGGTTCTGGGCGCTCTCGCCTCGACGCCGGCTACCTTGTTCTCGGAAAGCGACGCGCCCGCTCGAGCGCGGGCTTGGCCCCCGATCCCCGTCACGGAAGGCCCAACTTCAAGCAGTGGCGAAGCGTCTTGGCTCGCCTATAGCCCTACCAAACAATGTTCTAAGAACCTTTTGTAGTTTCCACGAACTGTTCTTAGAACATTTCTGGCTGGGGCCCTCTTGTTTTAACACATCAGGCTTAAGTTCTAAGAACATTGTTTTTGTTCTTAGAACATTTAGGGGTTCTAAGAACATGTCGTGGTAGGGCTATAAGAATGCCGGGACGGCGGGTCCCTGCTCAACAACTGCGAGGACACCGGCTCCCGTTCGATGCGTCCTCACAGTCTATTCCGCCACGCCCTGACTATGAAGCCCCCGCGTTTTTTTTTCGCCCGAAACGGCTTCGTAGTTCAGCACTTCAGTCAAGTTGGTAAGCACCAAACTGGGAAGACAGTGGCGCCCGCTCCGCATTTCCTCGTAACTTTTATGCGTGCGCCCTGGTCCTATTTTGAGATATGAATTATCGCACTCAGGGGTGGTGCTCTCGTCCGAGACGTCCTCACGATTTGCTCCACTTGGTGAAAGCCCTGCCACGACATCAGCGTCTCCCGCCCTGTACTCCCTCACAGTTTTTCCTTAGACGTTCTGGGTGGCCCTAAACTCAGGAACGGCGCTCTCTTCCAAGACTTCCTCCGAACTCACTCAAGTTGCTGAGTTGCCCTCTTGCGCGGTAGCTCGCAAGACGGCCATGTCCACGCGGTGCTCACACAGGGTGCGCTGCTGAATAATTGTCCCAGGAGTCTGTATCGCGGGTGCAAGGGAGAGGGATAAGCAAATGAAGGTCAACGCAGCTGGTTAGATCACATGTTCGCAGGATGGTCGTCGTCGTTGTCGTTGTCGTCATCGTCTTCGCAGTCGTCGAGGGAGTCGTCGGCGCGAGCTGGGGACGGAGCGCTGCCCGTGATTGTCGGGGGAGGCGGTCGACAGATCTATCTTCGCAGCAACGGTCGAAGTCGCT